TCTGACTCGTCCCCTAGTACCTAGTCTGGATATGAAGCACTGTTTTCCCTTTCCTTTTGCACCACCCCGCAACAACATAAAAAGACGCGCGCTACAGGACAATCACAACGCGTGAAATGCTAGGTATAACTCTATTTTTTTCTGTCCCGTTTGAACTTTGAAGGAAAGGGTAGAGCATACAAGCCACGCAAGCAACTTAGCTCTTAGTTTTTCTTCAAGCAGCCTTCTACTGGTCGATATGCAGCTAGTCATCCCGTTGCATAGATTATGCATGCGAATGCATTCAGATATCAGTTGGGCACATGTTTCCGATTGCATTTGAGTCGTCTTGTGGGCGACGTAAAGAGACAAATCACATACATAGTCTCATCAATCTTTCTCCATTCCCTTTGTTTCTCAGTTACCATGCTGCCCCACGTAGTCAATTAACAAGTGGTATTAGCGATCCTGGGGACCATCTCGTGGTCAATTGACACCCCTGCTTCATTAAGTGGCTGCATGCGCCAGCACGCAGGGGTGTCATGCCCGCCATCCATCCTTTTTAAATAGGAACTTAACCTAAATAAACAAACACACTGCCAAGCTTAATCTCGAGTTCATTCTTCCATCAGCTGGATCCTTGTAACTACTACTTTTGATGTAAACCTCTGATATCATCTGCGTTCCATCATCCATTATCGAGGTTGGTGATCTCCCAAGTCACCACCTTTGTGATCTCAATTACTTCACACTTCGACGCCCACCTCAGTCTCTCGTATAACGGCCAGGTACGTGTTATGGATCCATTCATGGCTCCAATGTTTCGTATTGTTTTGATGGGTCCTCTAAACGCGTCTCACATCCGGCCTACTGCATCAACAAAAAAAACACAAACAGAGCATATATGTCAGTAGGTATTGAGGCGCGCCTTCGGAAAGCTTTGGGATGCCGTGTGCATTTGCACTTGGCCTTGGAATCCAGATTCCTCCTTTGCATTAAGGGGTTCAAGTTAGTACCACTTGAGTACCGCAAGACTTGATTCACACATTCATCAACGTTCTCTACTATCACGTTTTATTCCGCATCACTGGGGACTACTGTGTATGTCACGGTATTAACGGTCGGCTAGTACAGTAGTTTTGATGACCTTTTGAGTTAGAGTTCTACCGATATTTATTGTGTTATCAATCTGATGTTACGAATCAGCGCTCACAGAGAGCTGCTGTCGGTGTTATTGGCCAACACGATCAGATCTACTTCTTACTACCTAGTAGGTCGGGAACTTGAGTTATCTTACCAGGGATTTTACGCCAACGTATGTGACCATGTCCATAACGAATTAAAGGAAATCTCCACAGGGAGCCTTTGATTTTGAATACATTTGATGTACAGAAATCGTAGGCAATCATAGGCTGTGCCATGATTTATAGATACCGACGTTTAAGCTCAGCTCACTGGCATATTCGAAGAACTATCGCCACAAGAGGTCAACAATGTTGATGCGATCTTCTCAGGTTAGACAATAACCATGGTCTTTGGCATAGTGCCTCTTTTTGCGTTTGAGAAAATCTTCTGGCTTGGTAATGAAAGTCCAGTCCCTTTTCGGACTCTCCACCAGCACAAGGGATTCTCATAGTAATGCTCAGGGACTGATCGAGCAGTGTACAATTCTGCTCACGTTTCGGCTGCAGATTACTGCAAGGCTCCCACGGCTACCTTAGAAGAGACCGGCAGGCTGCATGCAGAATATGGGTAAGCTCGGAATTGTCAAATCAAGGGTGATAATTGAGCTTTCATAACTCGTGTCACCACGGTACCAGCTTTGTGTGATAAGGAAGGCTGAGGACCTAGTACCATCGCACCTCCATACAATGAAGAGCTGTAGGTTAACAATTCCGAACACTGGGGTTACACATATCCGTATGTAGGTATGCCAACCTCATCGTCACATGGGTGTCAGCGTTCACTGTACCTGGTAGACATCGATTTAAGTACACTCAAATCTGCCCTCCTTCACTATAAATGGCTCGGAACTGATCCTCCGCTTTGAACATGTCTTGCATCTCTTCATGATCACTTTATGCACAATTGCACAGTGAATTCCATCAAAGGGCCATTGGTCGTTGTCTTAGCCAAGCCACGCAAACTTGGCCCTATTCGTTGTTTTTGGTGGAGGAAGTCTAGCTAAACTAAATAAGACACTGCTCTTTGCAGTGGTACCGTCCCTTGAGCCCCAAAGAAAGGCATGACGGCCTGTCTTTTGTGCCGCCCCATAATCACGCTACTGTAAACTCCAGGACTTTCACCCTGTATCTCATAAATGGTCATTTCGGCTGCCTATGTGCCATCCTCAAATACTGCCCATGCATCGTTCCTTGGATGTTTGGCAGCATCCTCCTCAACAAAAGTATTCCGTAACCACACGAGTCATTTACAGATCGTCGTCGGAAAGCTCACCAGGCAGAGGCATGGCGGCGGCCTCGTCCATCTCCTTGCGGTACTCCTCCAGGAGCTTCTCGTCGACCTGGGCAGTAGGGGGAGCCAGAGCGGGAGCAGCAACGAACTCCTATTAGTTCTGATTAGCATGTGTATTGTGTCAAGAGACCGTGAGATATTATCTTACAAGCTGAGGGTTTCCGACAAGCTTGCGGGCGAGCCAGAGGAAAGGCTTCTCGAAGTTGTAGTTGGACTTGGCAGAGATGTCGTAGTACTGGAGGTTCTTCTTGCGATGGAAAGTGATGGTCTTGGCCTTGACCTTGCGCTCCTTCACATCGACCTTGTTGCCGCAGAGAACGATGGGAATGTTCTCGCAAACTCGGACGAGATCACCTGGAATATGTTAACTGCGGGTTTGATGATATCATGACCGGGGTGGACTCACGGTGCCAGTTGGGGACGTTCTTGTAGGTAATGCGGGAGGTGACATCGAACATGATGATACCGCACTGGCCGTTGATGTAATAACCATCACGGAGACCGCCAAACTTCTCTTGACCGGCGGTATCCCAGACATCGAACTGAATCTGACCGAAGTTCTGTGATGGATTAGTGCCCCGCATGGGTCAACGTGGGGTCGCGAGACTTACGGTGGTGAAGCCAAGAGGGTGAACCTCGACACCGAGGGTGGCCATGTACTTCTTCTCAAATTCACCAGTCAAGTGACGCTTGACGAAGGTGGTCTGTCGCACATGATGGTTAGTCGATGTTGATGCGTGATGGGGATCGCTTCATATCTCTCGAGAATCGACTTGGCGGAGTAGGGCTCGAACGTCGTTGATAACATCGCGAAAGAAATGTTGCATCATAGGAACCTACACACCTTTCCGGTACCACCGTCACCGACAAGCACGAGCTTGAAGGTAGGAGTCTGCTGCTCAGCCATCTTGATGGTTGTGTCTGTGGTGTTGTAGCGACAGATGCAGAGGATGTAAACAAGCGGGGTGCTGAGAGGCGTGAGTTAGCTTCTGTTGAGTGGTCGGCAACAGCGCAAGACGGTCGATCGAATGGGTAAAGAATGAGATGGACGTCGGTGCGAAGTGATGCTGAGGGAATGGATCCTAAATACCTGAAAAAACCGTTGTTGAATGTGGGTATACCCAAGATTGATTGACAAACTTTCAAGGTCGACCTGATGTTTTGAAAGCGGCGGGGGACTTTGGGCAGGGAAGGACCTCAAGCGAAAAATTCAGTCGCCCCTACCTACCTTCGAGTGGATAGGCTGCACGTGATACCCACCCATTCAGTGCCTCCAGCCTGCTGCGAGTGATCCACCTCATGGCCTTCCGTCACCAGCCATTACCGTCACCGCCTTGGAGAAATCCTGTGTTACTATTGGGCACCGCCAATCTATTCGCTCTTCTACGTCTTCCTGTTCGCTGGCTCGATCTGTGCTGGGCTGCCTAGTGGTGCCTTGCTTGCTCGTCATTTTTCTTTGTGAGGTGATCTAAATGCTTGTAAGTCAGGCCTTGATCCATGCTTGCACCCCGATATCAGGATCGGGTGAGCTGGCTAGGCTGGCCATTACCTTACTCCATATCCTAGGAATCAATATGGTTTAGTCAGCATTTCCAGGCATGCTCGAGGCATCTTTAGGTACCGATTCGTTCTTCGTATCATGGGCTTTTATTGGTTATTTTTTACTCTTCATGCAAGGTTTCTTGCATCGTCAATACTCAGGCTATCATCTGACAAACAGCTTTTCCGTATCTGTTGGCCACCTCTTATCATGAGGCCATATACGGATTCCATGAGAGTGTCCAGCACACCTTTACTGTTTTCCAGGCATTAAATACAAAGGCCGTTGCTAACCTGCTGGCACCAACGAATATGTACCTCTTACGAAATGCCTTAATTAACATACCTACGTGGTATTGCTGATAAATGACCATATACTAGTAGCATAGGTGAACATTGAAGTCGCCTTTGACCAATTACACATTTCCTCAAATCAAGCTGCCTTCCTTGGCTCCAGTCGAATGAGATTCTAGCTCCTAAAGCATTAGAAGGCCGATAATTCGTGTATTAGGAGAAAAAATAAGCTAGTTGACTCACTGACCAAAACTGCGCCATACTACACTACGTCGCTTATCTAGGCCCTTTTATTTATTCCGGTTCAAAGTCCTCAGGCCTCTGCCATCTGCTGCTAGTCCATAAGTCAACCCATGATTTACTAGATCACGCAGAGAACCGCATGTGTGAGTTCATTCAATCACAATGTATAACAGAAAAAGTTTTTTGCTTCGTTATATCAGTATGAGACATAGTACTGTGTGATCCACTTTTGTCTTTGCAAATTAGGTATACACATCATGAGAAGTGTCTGGACAGCGGCAAGGTTTGAGGCCATACTAGCAAGCCATTGGATTGACAGATGCAAAGCAAAAATTAGCAACTGGACATGGGCTAAAGCACAAGCCCAAGATGAATCGCCTCGATCTAGCTCAACCACTAATTTATCTTGCCCGGAGTGATTATGCGTAGGTAGGCTTTCTGGTTTATCATGGCTTTCGCGACAACTCGACTCATAGAGGCAAGATATGGCAGCCCAACAATCCTCGCCCACCCCAGTCCTTTCTTGGAGTCAGGGTCAGTCGCAACTCTTGCCGCTCGGTCACACCACCTGGCCTCGACACTCTGATGAAAACGTTGTTCTAATTTATTGTCAACGGCGGTTTTCGTGTACTATATTGGAGCACAAACTTACCCCTTCGTTTCCCTGAACACACTCGGCCACCTTTCTGAGGTTGTCGTGGTTGGCTCGATTCACATAACCAAAGTTCCGGATTTCATCTCCAGGTTTCAGACCGGCGGATTCTGCTGGACTCCCTGCAGCTACGGTGTTGATTTTGGCAAAAGGAGGGTCTAACGGTGTAGAAGCTGAGTCTGGCAAGATGCCTGGTGAGTTACTTGAGCTTGCAACTGGCGCAGATTCATTCTCATCAAGACTCGCAAAATGTTCATGAAGGAATTTCTCAACCCGGGTCATGAGAGCAGTATAGTCATTCCGCAGTCGAATGATGCGAGCTCGTGTAGTCCGGACTGTCACGCTGTCAGTGATCGAATCTTGAATCTGGATATATTGAAATACTTTGAGCAACGTCGATGTCAGCTCGAGGGAAACCATCGTTTGTTAGGAGAGAAGTGTTCATATCGACCCCATGCTATGATTGTGTTAGAGCATTATAAATGTTATTTCGTAAAACTCGTGAATACCGAATCAAGCACTCCTCCTAAAGCCTTGAGTTCGGCCTCAATATCGTCCTTCTTTCGCTGCAACTCTGCAAAGCTTAGATGCCCCGCATCGCCATTCGTGACAGGAGCAGTGGTTTCCCCTGAGGGCACTGTCGGCGCGTGTAGATTTTCCATTGTTGGAATGGAGACACAGAAAAGTGAAGTTCCTGGAACTGAGAGCTTCCTACTATGTTATCGGCAGAAAGGGTTCAAAGTGAAGACGTCTTTGTCCCAGGCTGCGAAGGGTGACGCCGCTTAGACGGCAGGGAGGTTTCAGGACTCTTCAGTGCACATCCTCCCTACAACAAAAGAAGTGCACAGGACCTGTTTGGTGATTTGCGTTGGTAAGCTAGCGCTCCATGTAAAATACTGGTCCGTGCACATACTACCCGGCATTCTGCATGAGGCTCCGAGCTTGTGCTGGCGACGTCACTTTTCTTCCCTAGCAACTTTTTCTCAACAACGCGTCTCTTCATACCAATCAAACTGCTATTGCGACTTCTCCAATATGGCCACCGGGGTAGATGCGCGACTCTTGAAGTCGACCAGATTCCCCCCCGAGTTTAGCCAAAAGGTTGACATGCAAAAGGTCAATTTGCAAGTCATGAAGAAGTGCGTGATCTGATTGCCGGCCTTGTGTTACAACGTGCTAACTCCTCCATTCAGATGGATCGCCAGCAAAATTTCCGATATCCTAGGAAGCGAAGATGACGTGGTGATCGAGCTTGTCTTCAATCTCATCGAAGGACCGCGATACGTATGTTTACCGAACCCTGACAAGTTCAGAATGCTGATATGTACAATAGCCGGATATCAAGTCACTGCAAATACAACTCACAGGGTTTCTTGACAAGGATACGGCTGTGTTCTGCAAAGACCTGTGGAAGTTATTGCTGAGTGCCCAAAGTAGTCCCCAAGGCGTCCCCAAGGAACTCCTTGAGGCCAAGAAGCTGGAGCTCATCCAAGAGAAGGTATGCCAACCACTAATCCTGTGCAGTTCGATTTCTGATGGCATTTGATCTAGATCGAGGCAGACCGCGCTGCAGAAACCGCTAAACAGAGACGAGACGACTGGGATCGCCGAGACCGCGAAGTAGCCGATCTGAAAGACCGCGACCGCCGCGACCGGGCTGCTGCTCGTGGAGATACCTGGCAAGGGCGCCGAGGCGACCGTGATTTCGAAAATCGGGGCAGAGGGGGTTTCAGGAGGGGAGGCCGCAGATCAAGATCGCCCGGCCCTCGCATCCGTGATACCAGGGACTCATATGGACGCGATAGTTACATTCCACGAGGAAGACGTGGTAGTGGACGCGCCGAACAAGGCCGACGAAAATCGCCCCCTCGATCACGTTCGGAATCGGCATCGCCCAGGCCGAGCTCAAGAAGTCGCAGTGCCTCCCGAAGCACTGATCAATCGAACCAACGACAAAGACCTGTCTCTCATGGGGAACAAGCTGACACACGCAAGAGGTCGCGGTCACCTAGAGGAGATACATATCGGGGCCGGGCAAACAAACGTACCGAGAGAGGCCGGCCAGGTCGTCCATCTCGATCTCTGTCTTCGGAGCGAAATTCTCCTGCACCAAAGCGCAGACGTTACTCCTCATCAAGGAGTCGCTCTGTAACTCGTCGAAGACGACTGGCTAGAGACATTTCCTCATCGAGATCTGAACGGACATCAGAATCCCGTAGTCGAAGCCGAAGTCACAGTTATAGTCGCAGTCGCAGCCGTTCCAGCAGCGCGTCACCGGATCGCAGGACCAAAAGACGACCGAATCATGGACGTGGTCAGCAGCCCTCTAGGCAGAGAGATTCGCCTAAGGGTAGACGGCGAAATAGTTCTTCAGCTTCTTCGCGATCAAGGATTCGAGAAAATTCAGCTGATGTTTCTGAAGATGAATCTCGTGCCCTGTCGACCAAACCCGAGGCATAGGTTCCGGCCGAATGAAGTATCTGAGGTCAGTTGGCCATAGTGTCTTGAACCGGCGCAATCACTGACTTGGTTTGTTCGCCAAGATTTGACTGACCTTGCTCCTTGCAACGCCTGCGTCACCAAGACGAGGATGAGAGTGATCGAGGTTGTCTTCTCCTGGGGAAACCTAAGCTAACAATTTGTTCAAGCCCTTGTTGAGCCATGAGCATAACTATTATGCTTGCAATTACTGACTTACGGCGTTGGAAAACAGGAGCATATGGAAAAGCTTTCTTTGTAGGATATAGAGAGGACCAAGGACACATATAACTATCAAATAAATTGAAGCCTTTATCAAGTTCGAGCACCTATAATCAGCTAGTGAAAGCGTTCAATCTGGACCATATCGGAGACAGGAGAGCGGACTGCTTCTGAATCACTGCCTCAGAGATATAATCTTGGTATCGAGTTCCAACAACACCGAACTCACTACACCAGGTTCAACCTGGCTTGTCTTCCGTAGTATAGTGGTCAGTATGCAAGCTTGTCACGCTTGAGACCCGGGTTCAATTCCCGGCGGGAGAGTTCCAGCCACCTGCTATACGCAGGATTTCATTTTTGCTTCATTTACAACCTTAATCATTTTCGTTGTTGTTTTGTGGTTAAGTCCATGATTTAACCGAGATGCATAAGCGTCTAACGCGGCTCCCCGCGCTTCCTTTTAAGCGCCCCGCATTTTCCAATTGCAACCTAACTTGTATCTTTCCAGACGCGACCATTCATCATCCCATTTGACGAGGACATCCATCGAGTGTCGAACCCCAATAACGCCGACCTGCCGAGACGACAACGCGCATGGCTGAGAGAAAGGCATCGAACGGAGCTGTAGCTGGTACCGGACAAGTGACGATGTCCGAGTACAAGAAGGCGCAAGCTCGGGTTCGGGATCTGGTCGAGAAGCGCAGGATGCTAGAGAAACGCTTGGTGCGCATTTGCCCACTGAGTGTAAACTGTACTAGAACTCGGCTGATATTTTCATAGACACAAGTTGAAGACAGCATCTCCCAAAAGGAGACTGCATACCTCGACAGCACACCAAGCGGCAACATCATCACCGGTTTCGACAACTACATGAAGGGCATGAGTGGCGCGGCAGCACAGCGACGAAAGGCTGGTCCGATGGAACAGAACAGAGTCTTTTCACGATCGTCGATTTCCTACCGACCTAATAATCTCGTATGGATGAATATCATTTACAGCATCACACGGGATAGGCTAATCATGCTTTTCGTAGGAGGGTATCACACCTGGATCAGGAGGCTCGACGCCAGCTGGCGCGACACCATTATCCGCCGCATTTAGAGACGGACCCTCGAATCACCCGACACCGACATCTTCGACTGCGGTCAAGAACGCAAGCAAGTCGAAGAAGAAAACGGTCGAGCACGAGGATAGCGAAAACGATACTTCGATGAGCAAGAAACGAACGAATTTTGGAGCACAGCGCAAGTAGCGTATGTATAACGATATACTCATGAGATTGGGCGTTTAACAGGGAATGGACTGAACCGTAGGGTCAGGATGGCGTTAGGATTCATAATATAGATCACCCACCAACCAGAAAGTGGTTTGGGACCGAGATCACGATAGGTTCAAAGTAGCACGAAACTATGTTGTTCATAGGGGAGGTTATCGAGCATTTTGGAACCGCCAAGGCACCAGAATACTCAAAGAGCTTGCGTCAAAGCATGCATAATGCCTGTTTTTCTGCCATCATCTTAACAAATATAGATCCAATTGCTTGATGTCAGATCACCTATAAAACTCACGGTGGTTCTCCCGCTACTGGGAACAGCCTCACGGGTGAAGTTAGGTACAGTGTATGGTCTCCCATTTGTCGTTACATAGGTATGTTTAGGCCTTGTGTCATGTCTTGAAGCCATTTTAAGCTATCCCACGTCAACATGAACGAGATCGAAGCGACGTCGCAACGTCCGTCAGGTAAGGCTGTGGTTAATCGCAGCGGTTGCGGTGAGATTAGACTTTGATTAGCTCTTCAACTTCTATAGTTGCATGTAAAGGGATTACTTTCGTACTAAAGAAATATTCTCCGGCCAGTATTATGATGAACTTTTGATTTAAAGGTTAGGTAGGTAGGTAGCACTAATTATAAAGGAAGGTAGCATGAGCAGTGGGCTCACCGGAAGAGAGGGGCCGAGCGGGCGGCTGGCCATGAGAATGAGGAGTCGTGAGGGGGAACCCATGGCACTAGCACTTATAGGTGTTCTGCATACCTGGGCTGGTTGTATGATGAGTGTGTCAACTGGACACAGAGGTTCTTGATTCTCCTCTCTTCAACACCCCCAAGAGTCCTTTACTTCGTGATTTCCCCATCATATCACCTTCAATTACTAGAAACGCATTCTATCCCTCTCTGTCTCCATGATGACGAGGCAGGCCACGCGGTTCACGCCTGAAGTGCTGATTTCGGCCCCGCGTCGTTCAACTGGAGTCCCGAACTCCACTGGGGAGCTCATTCTCTACACGGTGAGTTGGAGCTTGGCAATGCCTTTAGCTGGCTGTGTCAAACTTATGCTAACATGTTCAGATCTCGTCGTACTCATTCGAGAGCCACTCCAAGTCGTTCCAGATCCGTGTTCTCAATATCAAAGATGACTCTTCCCATCTCGTTTCCGAGGACGCTCATGTTAGCGATCCTATTTGGATTGGAGAGAAAGAGATTGCTTTGATTAGAACAAATGATAATGGCTGCTCATCTCTCTACCAGCAGCATGTCTTGGATGGTTCCGAGTGAGCATATATTAAAGGCAACATGTCGTCTCCAGGAAGCTAACAAACGTATCAGGGCACGCTTGATCAAATCTTTTGCAGGCAGCATCTCTAACCCAAAGGCAAAAGCACTATCTGATGGCAAGGTTGCGTTAATTTGCTCCGCATTGACTACACCCAAGGGCAACATGTATTGGCAGGCAACCGAGCCCAAGACATACACAACTGCTAAGATATATACTGGCCTTTTCGTTCGGCACTGGGATGCCTGGAACACCGAGAATCAGAACTCGCTTTGGTACGGCGTGATTACCAAGAAAAATGGTAGATGGGTGTTTGAGAAGGATGGACTCACAAACCTCTTGGCCGGTACGCAACTGAGCTCACCTGTCCCTCCTTTTGGTGGAGCAGGAGACTTTGACATCTCAGAGAATGGAATCGCCTTCGTTGCTAAGGATCCAGAGTTAAACCCGGCGAGAAACACCAAGACAGATCTGTATTACGTACCCATCAAGTCTTGGACAGACAAGCCTCCGCCGCCACAGATCGTCAAGACTGGACGACTGCGCGGCTATAGTAGTGCACCTACTTTCTCCAACGACGGCAAGAAGTTGGCATTTGCTAGAATGAAGCACCAGCAGTATGAATCTGATAAGACAAGACTGTTGTTGATCCCCAACGTGGACGACTTAAGTAACGTACAAGAGTTTTACCAGACAGACGATGATGAGGGCGGTTGGGATTTGAGGCCTGATTGGGTTGTCTGGAAAAAGGACGACACTGAGCTGTATGTTGCGGCTGAGAAACATGGGAGATCAATGCTTTGGAAGTTACCATCTGATACTCTCAAAGCTCGTGATCTTCCCGAGGCTATTCACGAAGAAGGGTCTGTCGTTGAGGCACACACTCTGGAAGGCAGTGACTCTCTCTTCATTACATCCAAGTCGCGAATCGAGAGCTCGAGCTACGGAGTCCTGGACCCGGAGACCAAGGTTGTCAAAGTGATCTCCACCAGCTCCAAGAACGGCAAGACATTCGGTCTCTCCACGTCTCAAGCCAGCGAGTTATGGTATCCTGGGTCCGCCGGCTATGATAATCACGCTCTTGTTATGTTACCTTCCCACTTCGACAAAAGCAAGAAGTATCCTTTGGCCTTTCTAATACATGGTGGCCCTCAATCAGCGTGGACAGATGATTGGAGTACTCGTTGGAACCCGGCCATCTTCGCTGAGCAGGGCTATATAGCTGTGTGCCCCAACCCCACCGGCAGTACTGGATACGGGCAAGCTCATATTGATGCGATTGCCAACCACTGGGGAGGTGCCCCATATGAAGATCTGGTGAAGTGCTTTGAGTATCTCCAGAATCATGTCGATTATGTTGATACTGATCGAGCTGTTGCTCTGGGAGCCTCATACGGTGGATACATGATTAGTGAGTCCAAACGTTCTTGGGCCGCGGTTATACTGACATGAGAACAGATTGGATTCAAGGTCATGATTTGGGCCGTAAGTTCAAGGCTTTAGTGTGCCATGATGGCGTTTTCTCAACACAAAACCAATGGTCGACTGAAGAGCTCTTCTTCCCCGAGCATGATTTCGGTGGAACATTGTGGGAGAACCGTGCTGGATATGAGAAGTGGGATCCGTCTCTGCATACTGGCAACTGGTCCACACCTCAGCTGGTAAGAATGATACTAGGCGGCGACAAGAAATATACTGACACCTTTCTAGGTCATTCATAACGAACTCGATTACCGACTGCCCATCTCAGAAGGATTGGCCATGTTCAATGTCTTGCAGGCTCGTGAAGTGCCTAGCAAGCTCGTCATGTTCCCCGATGAGAATCATGTGAGTGGTGAGGCAATTGGTATATCCTGTTTATCTGCTGATAATCGATGCAGTGGGTGCTGAAGCCGGAGAACTCACTCGTTTGGCATAGAGAGGTCCTGGATTGGATCAACAAGTACAGTGGCATCGCAGATGACGAGGCCAAGCTCGAGAAACAGACTGAGGAGATGACTGTATGAATACGCATGCACCACTGAGAATGTTATCAAGGTATTACATCAGAGAAAGGGGGGGGGGGGGGCTGTGTTTGGAGGAGAACACTTTGGTAAACGTTCAGGTTGGAAATGTGCCACAACGTGATATGATAGGAGATGGTATTATATATTTCATCGATTTATCAATCAGCAACCAGAAGACGACCATCGTGGTATCTTGTGGCTCTTTAAGACAATGGCAGCCTACATATTACCAAAAGCTGTGAAAAATGGTACCACGTGTCTCAAGGCTGCGCATACGCTTAATCATAGGCTCGCCATGGACTTGCCATGACCCTGATCACAACGAGCCCGATCATCAGTATATATGACAACCTTTGTAGATATTTAAGGTAAAACAATGACAATGCTATATTCGTAAGTCTTCCATTTTTTGCTCAGATGATCAAAGCCAGTCTATAATGGAGAAAACCTAGAGAGAAAGGTTTTTGACATGATCTTCTGTAATTGTTTCTCTCAGTTTTACCCATGCCGTTCCATTGTTGTCGTAACATCCACCAAATTGGTGTAAGTCGTGTACCTACTCTGGGTGTTGTACTGAGAAGGCTCCACTCTTTTTATTGTTAGGCCGCGCCTATTATTCTTGCACCTCTGCTCTGATCTGCACTTGCCCCAAAGGGGCCAACTTCATACCTTTGGAGAAGCTCATCGCAACAAGCTTCAATAAATTTTGTGCAGATTCCAGGCACATTGTTCGGGTATGCGCTGTGAAGCCATAGCCTTAAGTACCGATGACGGCCAAGCTTTGCTCCCGCGACATCGATATTGAGACGAATCAGCAACTTATCAACATTCAAACGCTTTCCTTTGACGATCGCAAGCCGAGCGCCCCAGTGACCTAATCACTATTTTACTCTCGCACATAGAAACCACAACAATCGCCAGACAAATATGACGACACCGCCGTCTCTATTTCACGCGCTTCTCCGGCCCTCCATACTCCAGATCTTACGCTCAACCGGATATCATTCCACGCGCCCCGCGGTCCTCGACTCTCTGACAGATCTTGCCGCCCGGTACCTGTCGCTTCTCTGCCAAACTACTGCCCAGCATGCGATGCATAATCAAGGCGACAGCGCTGACTTCACAATTGCTGATATACGGATGGCGCTTCAGGACGCGGGCGCGCTGATACCAGGGCGCGTACCTACCGAAGAGATGTGGCGCGGCGAAGAGGACTTGCGCGGAGTTGAAGAGTTTGTAGCGTGGTTCGCGGGACAGCGCATGAAGGAGATGATGGAGGTCGGTAGTGGGGACGGTGAGACGGATGCTACAGATTATCTCAATGGTTGGTTCCTACCGATGGCTTCCAGGAAGCACAGCTGACAGTGACTTCACAGCTTTGAAGAAGAAACACAGTAAAACCGGCGAAGACGCTAAGTACCACGGTACCATACTCGGCCGTGGCCATGACACAGGCGAGATCCAAGTCGAAGGAGGGTCAGAGACGACCATCGCCGAATGGATCTCCAACCGTGCCTCGCCCCAAAGCAGCCCGACGCCTGGCGAAGAACAGCAGCCTGACGAAGATCAGCCTCCACAGCAGCAAGCACCTCAACAAAACGGCCATGCTAGTGACGATGATTCGGGGCTGAGCTCGGTCGGTGATCGTATAGATCAGGATACAATGGACTTGTCATAGTGAAAGACAGCGGCCG